TAGAGATGTTGAGAGAAATGTAACCTACTGCCGACCCTGAGAATACCCGCGGTATCGATGAAAGGGAATAATTTTCTGAGAGGTTTAGAAATGGGCAACTTTCTATCGAGCCTTGATATATCATCAGAAAAGCGAACTCAGCAAACGTTCGTTTTACTAAAAGGAAAAGTGATTCCTGAATTCCGAATTGATTGAGAAATCCTTTTCTTTTATCGTGTGGGAATCGCGTATTATGAATGAATCGCAAAATATATGATACAATCCTCTTTATTTTGGCAAAGGATGATAATCGGTCGAGCAGGTGGTCCAAAGAATCTAACGTTACCACCGATATCAACGCCAATTTACGCTCTTCTGTCTCAGATTGGGGAGATGAGTCGGAAAGTGGTAGAGTAGGCCAAAGGTCTGAAGACGACATTAAGAATGCCGATCCAGTCCACCAGAGAGAGTGATTACATAATTCCAAAGGAAATAAGCCCCGACTAGCATAATCTGCGGCATTAGGATTGGTGGGAACGTGACGCCAGTGGGAAGGGGAAATTTTTTCCTGAATATAGGAACTTCTATAACTGACAAAAGTTTTGTACTTGTGCGGTGGATTTTTTATCCAAGTGAGAGCCGTTGTAGAATCTGACCATGCATAAACTTCATCGAGAGTAATATTGTTTTGGTAAGTTGAAATGACAAATTCTAGGAGTTTGTCGAGAAGAACTGCGGCGCATAGCTCTAACCTTGGTAGTGAAATTCGTTTGAGGGGGGCCACCTCAGACTTGGCACATACCAAAAATACCTGAGGGGGATCCGAGTCGGTGGGGCAGAATCTCAGATAAACAACGGCAGCATATCCTCGTTCTGAGGCATCACAGGAACCGTGAAGAGAATGAGACCCGGATGAATTTGAAATGATTTGTCTGGGTAGCTGAAACGAAGATAAACGAGGCAACTCAGCAACATATCGCTCCCAGCTTTTTAGAACTTCAACAGGAGGGTCTTCATCCCATGATAACCCAAGTGACCAGAGATTCTGAACTCAATTTTGCATAAAACGTCAATGGTGCTAAAAAACTCAACGGGTCATAAACCCTGGAAAGTTCAGAGAGTATAACACGTTTGGTACATGTTCGATTAAGAAGTTTGACGTCATAAGAGAAAGAATCTGAATAGGGATGCCTTTTTAGGCCAAGGATTTTTATGACATGGTCATTCTCGAAATCACATGAGAGAGATTCATTCTGTAAAAATTCTTTGGGTATATTAGCGAGTAGTTTTTGCTCGTTACTTCCCCACTTCCGTAAGACAAAGCCACCCGCCCCTGATAATTCTATTATTTCCTTCTGTATGGAAAGAGCTTCATCGAAGGAATCACATCCGAATAAGAGGTCATCAACATAAAGACATGTTTTCAAAATATGAGATGCCTTAGGAAATCGTTCCCTCTCGTCATTACGTAACTGTAAGATCGTTCGAAGGGCGATATAAGGACTTGAAGACACTCCGAAACTTACCGTTTTCAATTTATAATCACTAATAGGGTCATCAGGAGAGAACCTCCAAACTATTCTTCGAAAATGTGTGTGTTCTGGTGAGACTAAAATTTGTCTATACATCTGTTTTATATCAGCAGACAATACATATGAATGTAGTCGAAAATTCAATAAGAGTGAAATAATATTTTGCTGTAATTTGGGACCAATGAGGAGAGAGTCGTTTAGAGAGGAGAAACCGGGAACATGAGCTGAAGCATCCAATAATACCCGTAACTTAGTGGTAGTACTTTCCAGCTTTGATATACCGTGATGAGGAATGTAAAATACGTTCTTTGGAGGCAATGATTCAACAATTTTCTCCATGTGATCAGCTTCCAAATAATCCCTCATGAAAGCTGAATATTGTTCATAAAGGTCGAGATCATTTAATAAGCGTTTTTCCAGCGCTGCGAATCTGCGTAAAGCGAGGGTGCGAGTATCTCCAAAATAGGAGGGGAAGGCATCCCGAAATGGTGATGCCACAACATATCGTCATGTATATATACGCGATATATGTTCAACGAAATGTCTTTCGCATGCCGTTTCCTCTGGTGACATTCGGGTAGCCTCTGGAACATCCTCGATCTGCCAGAAAGATTTAAGAGTTTTATCCAGATCAACTGAGTCAGTCGTACATGAAAGAGAATGCTGGTGAGGAGGAGTAATTGAGATATGACGTGTAGACCCCATCAAAATCCAGCCAAAGATTGTTGAGAGCGCTATAGGTGCATTTTTATTTCCTACCATCTTATCCTCTAGAAGAATTTGAGAGAAAATGTCCGCCCCTAATAACATGTCAATAGGGCCCGGAGTGTGAAAGTTAGGGTCTGCTAGAGGCGATCCATTAATATGTGACCACGACGCGTCACATATAATATGAGAGCTAGGCAAATCCGTACAAATTTTTGGCAATATGATGGCATCGAGCGTAAACGAGAGGTGAGTTTCATCTATGGGATGAATGCATCAAGTAACGGCGTTTGAGACTGAGTTCATTTGCATTTGACCTATCCCGCTAACAGATATCGGCGATTTGTAACGAGTCAATCTTAACTTATTCGCGCATTTCTGAGGTATGAAATTCACTTGGCTCCCACAATCAAGCAATATTCGAATTTTGTGAGGGTTATTGAAAATATCGTTTATTTCAATCTGGGCTGTAGCTAGTAGGATATAATAGAATAAAAAAGAAGAAAGATGAGGAAATACATATTCTCAACTCAGAAACAGATGAAGAAAATGAAGAAAGAGACGAACAATGCAACATAATGGAGCTACTATTAAAAGAATTGGAAAAAGTCACGAAGAAAAGCTTCAGAGGGTATAAAAATCATCCAAGGAACGGCGGAGTCAATGAGACAAATCCTAGAAGCCACGAGCAAATTCTCAGGAGGAAAAATACAATTTAATCGTGCTGATCAGGAAATCGTAAAAGAACAGTCTCAAGAAATAATGCTCAATATAACAACGATAATACACGAATGGGGAAAAGAAAAATGCAGAAGGAAAATATTAGAATCAAAATTGATGGCTAATAAAGAAATAGACAACAAAATCCAAAAAGCCACGGAAGAAATGATTGATTTGATTTGATTTATTGATTCGTTCGATTTAACAAGATACTTAGATATATTAACAATTTATAACAGTTATCCTTTATTATCCCAAGGGTTCACCTAAGCACTTGAGGCGCTTGTTTTGTGCAGCCCATTGGAATAATTCAGGATATTCATTAGGTAATTAAAATGAATGGTAATCATATTATACATATTAATGTACTAGTCTCAATGAAAATATATATTACTATCAAATAGATGGAATTCTTGTTGGATTTGATCGAAAATTCAATTAATGATTGTTTGGGATTATTTCTACTTTTTTTTTTTTTTTTTTTTTTTTTTTTTTTTTTTTTTTTTTTTTTTTCATCTTACATGTCAATCTCGTAGTGGTTGATGTGGCAGGGATCCAACTGATTTTTTCATTAATCATATGTGTATAAATATTTTCATAAAAGATTCACTAGTGTCAGATAGTTAAGGTTGATGAATTGTTTTATACCAGTTTTATATTTATTAAATGAGAGGTTTTCTTTCAAAGTTTTTTTAAAAATGGGAATCATTACATTCAAATTTTCGGTAGATCTAGTATTTTTTATCTTTTCGCTATAGTAAAAATATTTATTATTATACATCCATATAAGACAGTGATAAATATAAATACATCTTATGTTATACAAATTGGTTTCTTTATAGAGCTGTTCTGTTGAGTACAGTTTTTTTTTCTTAAGAATTATTTTAATTAAAGTATTTTGCATAGCTTGGAGACTGTACAGGTTGCAGTCAAATATACCACCCCACACGGAAATACAATACCTAATCACTGATTCTGCTAAAGATCTGTATACCGTCATTAGATTTTTTGTGTTTAGAGTTTCTCTCAAGTTGTACATTTTGTGAGTGAGATGGCGGAGTCGCTTTGTAACATATAGGGCATGTTCGTCCCATCTCATATGCTGATCCAGGACTACACCAAGATATTTTAACTTTGATTCTTTTTTTATCGAAGGGCAATCACATTGATTTATTTGTGGACATTCAGAGGCATGTATTTTTATGGCATTTTCAATTGGTTGATCGTTTTTAAGAAGTGTGAAACAAACGAATTTGGTTTTATTCAGATTCAAACTGAGGAGATTATAGTTCAGCCATATCTGGACATCCTTCAAGCCCTTTGCTGCTGTTTGATATACTTGTTGCCATGTTTTGCCAGAAAAAATAATCACCGTGTCGTCTGCATATGAAATGAGATTGTCAACAGATCTTATACAACCAATACTATTTATATAAACTAAAAATAAAATCGGCCCCAAAACCGTGCCTTGTGGAACACCAATTGTGATTTCATTTGAGGAACTAAGTTCACTACCAATTCTGACAGTTTGTTTCCTGTGTGATTAAATAATTTTGCAAAATGTTTAACGCTGGGCCACGAATACCGTACCTATGTAGTTTGTCCATTAGTTCGTCATGTGCTACCGTATCAAAAGCTTTAGCCAAGTCTAAAAAAACTGCAAGGCACTTGTCGGAATTTTCCAGAGAGTCAGTTACGGTTTTCGTAAAGTGAATGACAGCTTTTTCAGTGTTCGAGTTACTAATGAAACCAAATTGTTTTTTTGTTATCACATTATGAAATTCGAAAAAATTAACTAATCTATTTTTTAAGGTATGTTCAAAAATTTTTGCAAAATTACTTATTACAGAGATGGGTCGGTAATTCTGAAATTTGTTTTTACTCCCTGCTTTATGAACTGGAGTTACTACTGATTCCTTCCATTGCACTGGAATATTACCCGTTTTGAATATTTTATTTATTATATTTACTAAGGCAATTGCAATGTACTGATAAATAATTTTTACTAGCTTCGCTGGTATCTCGTCTGGCCCTGGAGCACAATTACTTTTTATGTTGGAGACAATGTTGAATATTTCGATTTCAGAAATATATAAAGAAATAAAGCAGGTCAAAGAAAACACACTAACATACAGAACATCGAGCAACACAGCTGAAAATGAAGAAATTATGAGCGAGCTAAAGAAACTTAGAATAGAAATAAAATCCACAGAACACCATACGCTACTACAACAAGAAACCATCGAAGACCTCAGGAAAAATATGGCACAAATTAAGACAGCAGTGGACAAAAATCAACAAACATACACAAATAGCGAGACAAACAGAGACAACACAGAGATTATAAAAGAAATTACAGAGCTAAGAAAAGAAATAAAATCATCAGACAGAAACACAACGCAACTCACAAAACCAAATTCAACATCACAACACAAACAAAATGAAACCACACAGGAGGAGACATCAGAAGGAAAAACCAGTACACAACAAGTAGAGGAAAACTGGGAAACACAAAGAACCAGAAGAAGTAAAAGAAAAACATACGCAGAAATACTAAATAGACAGAACAGAACAAAAGACAAACAGAGCGGAGAAATCAAAACGCCACAAGAATGGAAAACACCAGAAAAAAGAAGAAATTATGATACAATAATACACCTGAAAAATAAATCACAAGAAGAAATAGGAAAATTAAAACCGAAGGAACTGATCGCAGAAATAAGAAAAAACATAGACCAGGATATGACCAATGAAGGACTACAAAACATAAAGACCACTGACAAAGGAACAATAATACTCACAAACAAAGATAAAGAAGAACAAGACAAAATAGTACAAGCATTAAGTAATAAAGGAGACATAGAGATCAAGACAATAGGGGGAAAACAACCAAGAATCACCATTACTGGAGTCCTAGGAGGTTACACAAATGAGGAATTTCGGCACGAATTCATACAACAGAACGCAATAATACTGAAGGATCAAAAGACGGAGGACATAGAGTCAATAAAAGTACTCACCAAGAGAGCATGCAGAGACAGTAGAAAAGAGAATTGGACCCTCGAAATGAACCCGCCCATTTTTAAATTACTCATGCATGCAGAAATAATAACCATGGACTTGATGCGCCTATACGTGAATGAGAACAATGAAGTATCGATGTGTTTTAACTGCTGTGGATTCAACCACTCGGCGAAGAAATGCACACAACCAGCAGTATGCTATAAATGCGGACAAGGGCATAACGCAAGGGACTGCAGAAGCGAAGAAATCAACTGTGCAAACTGTGAGAAGATGAGTTATCAGAGAAGAAGGCACACGGCAAGAGACACGTGTAACAAGTCACTATTCCGGTGACTACTAACGGGATAGTAGCCATTTCCACCCACCACCACCACCCAGGCGATCAACACTGTCATAAGTGTCATAAGTGTCATTATTAGTAGAATGTCTTGCTTACATGATTTTGCCGCTTCAATTTACAATTACAAGTTTTAATGTTAAAAACATAAAATGAAGTCTGTTTTGTGTTACACTCAACTCCAGTGCTCTTAATTTCACTGTGCGAGTGCCCCACGCAAGTATTCATTGGCAATTTAGTCGCCTTTGTTCCTTAAATCGTGTCAAAAGTCTGGTTCTCATGAGCCCGCCAAAGCATTTTCTCGATTAGCCTACGACGAAACCCTTTACCACCCTACAAATTGGCGCTCCAACTCGAGGCCGTAGCTAGAAGGATAGTGTTTTGAATGTGTCCGTGAGTACTTTCAGACTATTTCTGTTATTATTCAATCGCATTGAATACATAACCTCAACTCAGAACCGCGATCTTGCGCTAACTGATTGGGATCAGAACGATCGACGATCCGGATTTCGGGCGCCTGCTGCAAGCACAGAACGTTCGTTCACGGTGTTGCCGGATGTTAAAACTTTTGGTTCGCGTAGTTGCCGGATTTCGTTTTTTTTTCGCACTTTCCAAGACTTTTCCGGAAGTGAACATTTTTCACGTTTTGATGTAACTAAACACTAAATTGCTCCAGTTTCATTCGTATAACGCGTATTCGAATGACATACCGGGAAAAACTGCGTAATTATATACCGAGTGTCGAAAACTCTGAGGAAATTTTTGAGGACCAATCCGAGTTTAACTTTGAGCAACACTCCGAAGAAAACTCCGAGATGTCGAACGTAGTGATGACCCCCGAGCAATTTAATCAACTTCTTGATGGAATGAGACAGATGGTAGCAGGTAACACTCAACAAACCCCTACAGTGAACTCAGGTAACTTTGCCAAATGTAGTAGTAGATTCGCAGGGCGAAAGGATGAAGATGTTGAGGCGTTCATAAGTGCTGTCACTGTATATAAAGAGTGCGTCAACATAACTGATGCAAACGCACTGAAAGGGCTTCCCATGTTATTAGATAGTCATGCAGCTGTTTGGTGGCAAGGAACCAAATCATCAGTGACTGATTGGGCCGATTCACTTACTGCTTTAAGGCATGCTTATGGTAAAAAGAAATCTGCTCCCAAGATTTTTCGTGAATTATTTTCGAAGGAACAGGAAGAGAAGGAGCCAACTGATGTTTCCGTAAATAAATGTAGAGCATTACTTTCTCACTTGCCTGCCACTCCTATATTACATGAAAGCCATAAAATTGATATGATCTATAGTTTACTCAGTTCCAAAATAAGAGAACGTTTAGCGCGTTCAGATATAACTACTTTTGATATTCTCATAGAAAAAGCGAGGATCATAGAAGATTCCTTTGCTGAGCATGAAACCACTACTAAACATAGCTTTTCAAGGTCAAATACTGATCATTACAATTCTAGTTCTAATAAGCTTAGACCTAAATGTACATTTTGTAAAAATTTTGGGCATGTTCAATCAGACTGCCGAAAATTTGCTGCTAACACTCAGTCACAGAAGCAACCAGCTAGTTCCAATGTAGAGAGGGAAAATTCATCGTCGATTGGACCTGGTACCAGCAATCGCCCAGTACTAAATTCAACTATTGTGTGTTATGGATGCAATACCCCCGGGTACGTGAGGACCAACTGTCCAAACTGCAAAGTACCTCGTCAAACAACTCCCACTCCAAGGACTGCTTCTTCTTCGGTTGAACTTCTCATGACTTCAACAGATAGCTTCAATAAAAGACCCTTATTGCTTTTAACTGTTCTGGACCTGCATGGGTATGCATATGTTGACACCGGTGCTAAGTGTAGCATTGCAGGTAGTCGACTATATAATCATTTACTTGATAAAAAGGTAGCTTTTCAGGAAAAAGAGATGACATTAGTTCTCGCAGATGGTGAAGCAAGGTTAGTTCCAGCACGAGTCTTCAGTTGTCCTGTCATCCTTTTAGAAAGAGCCATACAAACTACTTTTGTTGCTTTTCCTGAGCATACCTCATCAAAAACCCTACTTGGTGTAGATTTCCTAGCCAACGCCAACCTCGTCATAAATATCCCACAAATGAAATTTTCGTTTTGTGATGAACCGAATATCCAATATGACTTTCATTCAGAGAGTAACTCTGAGGATAATGCCGTCATCAGTCTTCTCGACTTGACTTTGAGACAAGACGAAGCAATACGACTCGATGAATCTGAACGCAATCGTCTTCAGATTGTTTTGGAGAAACACAGGGACGTCTTCGAAGGATACAACGTGTCTACTCCTTACGCAGAGCACTGCATCAACTTAACCAACGACACACCAATCGCGATACCACCTTACCGTATGTCGCCACAGAAATTGGATGTGTTGAAGACGGAGGTTGAGTCATTATTAGAAGAAGGTACAATTGAGGAATGTGATTCTCCTTATGCTGCACCTACTGTTTTAGTCGCAAAGAAAGACGGAAAATTCAGAATGTGTGTGGATTACCGCCGTTTGAATAGCGTTACTATACCGGATAGATATCCGCTTACTAGAATGGATGATCTGATGCAAGCCGCTACCAGAACTTTCTATATGTCTACGCTTGATCTCAAGAGTGGATACCATCAAGTGTCAATTCGCGAATCCGATCGCGATAAAACCGCCTTTATTACACCTTTCGGTATTTATCGTTTCAATCGGATGGCATTCGGGCTCCGAAACGCGCCTGCGACATTTCAAAGACTGATAGATAGGTTTCGAAGTGGTTTGCAGGGCATTACTATACTCGCGTATCTCGATGACATGATAGTGCTCTCAGAAACTTTTGATAATCATCTTGGACATTTGACAATCGTTCTAGAAAGACTTAGAAAATTTAAATTGTGCGCGAATCGAGCTAAATGTACTTTCGTGCGTCCTTCTGTCAAATACTTAGGACATCTCATTACGCCGGATGGGATCGCACCTGACCCCGACAAAGTGTCAGCAATTAGCCGAATGTGTCCACCACGAAATGCTAAACATGTTTTATCGTTTCTACAGACCTGTAGCTGGTTTAGGCGATTTGTCCCGAACTTTGCCGAAGTTTCTAAGCCGCTATCTGATCTTACGAAGAATAATTCCAAGTTCGTGTGGGATTCTGCGCAACATCAGGCATTCGAGAAACTCAAAGAATTACTAACTACCTCACCGATATTACGTCAAGTGGATTTCTCGAAACCGTTCATCTTAAAAACAGATGCTAGCTCTTACGCACTTGGTGCATGTCTCCTTCAGGGGGAGGGCACTGACGAAAGACCAGTCGAATATGCCAGTCGCCTTATAACCTCTGCTGAAAGGAACTATACAACTACTGAGCGCGAGGCTCTCGCCATTGTTTATGCCGTCAATAAATTCCGAGGTTATGTCGAGAACTCGCCGATAATTATTAAAACTGATCATCAGCCTCTGAGATGGCTTATGTCTCTACGATCTCCGAAAGGACGATTGGCAAGATGGGCCTTAGAGCTACAAGGCTACGATCTGAGAATTGAATATATTCCCGGAAAAACGAATCGGATTGCGGATATGCTTTCCAGACCCCCATGTGACCCATCTACAGAAGAAACTTGTGGAATTTGTACCATCGCCCTAGATGTGCCCACAACGAGTAGTCAGACTCTGCGAGAGGAGCAATTGGCTGACCCTAAGCTCAAATTAATCATTGGTTGTTTCGAAGCAGAAGAGCCAGATCAAGTTGATCTCAGTGAATATACTGACAGGGGCTATGTCATGTTCCAAGGAGTACTTTACAGGTATAATCAGGACATTAATACCGATGAAGCACAGTTAGTAGTTCCGGAGTCTAAAATACTCGATACATTGAAAGAATGTCATGACGATCCACTCGCTGGCCACTATGGTGTTGAAAAAACTGTACAGAGGGTAGCACTCAGATATTACTGGCCCACACTCCGCAAAGATGTGACAAACCATGTCAGACGCTGTGTGGCTTGCCAAAAGTACAAGCCTAGTAACCTGAAACCAGCCGGATTGATACAGACCCCCGCTTTAGCGCAGCGTTTTGAAAGCTTAGCAATGGACCTTGTTGGTCCCCTACCTGAAACTGATAAAGGTAATTGTTGGATTTTCGCTGTTGAGGACACTGCCACCAAATGGATTGAGCTGTTTGCCCTGAAAGATGCTACAGCTGAAGCATGTGCTAGAGTTCTCATTGATGAGATTTGTCTTCGCTTTGGGACCCCAAGACGTATAATAAGTGACAACGGATCACAATTCATTAGTAAAGTGATGCAGCAAGTGACTTATTGCCTAGGAATACATCAGTCTCTTACCCCTGTCTATCACCCGTCGTCTAACCCGGAAGAGAGAAGGAATCGTGACCTTAAGGTACAACTCTCAATTTTATTCGGGAGAGACCACACTAAATGGGATGAAATGATTCCAACTATTCGATTTTCAATGAATAGCGTCCCCAATTTGGCAACTGGATTCTCACCAGCTTATATGAACTTCGCACGCGAACTCCGTACCCCTATGGACGTACATAAAGACTTACGCGCTGTAGTTACCAGTGAAAACGTGATTCCGGAAATAACACCCTATCTCCGCCGTCATGTTGAAACATTACTTCGTGCTAAAGAGACTAACGAACTCAAACAAGACACTGCAAAACGGTATGCAGACAACCGGTTACGTGCACAAGACAATTTCAAGCAAGGTGATAAAGTGTTGGTAGAGACACATACTCTCAGTAAAGCCTGTGCAGGTTTTACCTCCAAATTTGCACCGCGTCGCGATGGACCTTATATCGTGCTAAAGCAAATTTCTCCTACCTCGTTTGAAGTTGCCGCTACAGAAAACCCGACTGTTTCTGTGGGCAAATTCCACGTGTCTGCTCTACGACACTTCGTAGATGATGAACTTCTTGCAGACCCGACTCCCATACGCCCGCTTCAAGGAAGAGGACG